GTCCCACAGAAGGTTTTTTAGCACCTGGACGAGCACAGCCTGTTGCCTGTTGGTTTTTTTCCCTTGGATTTCTGGTTCCTCGTTGTGCTGCCCCCTGGAGCTGCCTCTGTTGCTGTGCACGGTTCTGTCGCTGCTGGGAAGAAATCTCTGGAGCTGTTCAAAGACTGAAACCACCCCCCCGGAGCAGTTCAATCATTCCTTCAGGTCCTCAGCATTCTACAGACTCAGGATTTTAGGAGGTGGATCCCACAGCTCTGCTGCCCCACAGCCCCCCCCTCCCCAGCAGACCCTGAGAGGGGCTGGGCTGGGTTCCCCAATTCCCCTGCTGGGTGCAGCAGCCTCAGGGACCTGGTGCTGGCCGAGGACGTGGGGTGTTCAGTGTGTGCCTGGGGGACCCACACAGGAGCTGGCCACAGGATCTCCCCTCAGAGGCACCAGCCTGTGCAGTTTTCCCACTGGGCTTCGTTTGCAGCAGGTCTGGGGAGGAGACTTTTTGTTGTTTGTTCCTCGGGGAGAGGAGGGGATGTGACAAGTGCTCTGTGTATATTCTGTACAGACCTATCATGGCCAATGCTAGTTCATAATTTATGACGTTGGGTTTTAATTGTGTGGCTGCTCCTCGGAGCCCTTGGGAGAGTTCTCAGGTTCCGTGCTGGGAACCTGACTGCTTGTATATATTTTACTGTTGCTGCCAGGATGGGGTGCTGGGGATGGTTTTGGAACTGACAGAGGGGCAAATAAAACAGCAAATAGTTCCCAGACGTCTTCATGGGGTGGTTTGGGGTCTGCAAGGTCTGTCCCAGCCTCCCTCAGCCTTGCTGGGGGTGGGACTCTGAATGCTCTTTGCCCTGTTGACACATCTCAGGAGGAGAATGAAGAGGACTTTGGGGTGGGTTCCTGCCCTCCAGCCTCAGCCAGCAGCACACCAAACTCTGCAGGAACGTCAGCTTTATTCAGTCACTGAGTTACAGCAACAGCTCTCTGACCCCAGGACAGTGGGAGGAGAAACAGGAGCTGAGAGCTCAGCAAGCAGAAGGGAGAGGTTTGGGTTAGGTTGGGGCTTATTCCCCCTTCAGCTCAACACTGCTTGGAGATATTAACATTGCTTAGGTGGGAAAGAAGTGAGTACAAACATTTTAGAACAGCCCAAGAAAACATCCGATGGGAGGATGAACTCCACAGGAGGAGGAGTAAAGGTCAGACTGGGTCGTGTTAATTGCAGGCAGAGAATTTCAGAGTCACTGGGCTGGGTTCAGTCCCAGCGCGGTCGAACGCTCGTGGTTGGTGGTGTTGAAACGTTTGAAAGCCCAGGTGGTGTTTGGGAGTGAATATTTTGGACACTGGGAGGAAAGCAGCTCTCAGGAGCCAGGCCCAAGAGCGCATGTACAGGTAGTGCTCACAACTCCTTGTAAGGCTATTTCAAGAGTATTTAGAGCACATGTACAGGTAGTGCTCACAACTCCTTGTAAGGCTATTTCAAGAGTATTTAGAGCACATGTACAGGTAGTGTTCACAACTCCTTGTAAGGCTATTTCAAGAGTATTTAGAGCACATGTACAGGTAGTGTTCACAACTCCTTGTAAGGCTATTTCAAGAGTATTTAGAGCACATGTACAGGTAGTGTTCACAACTCCTTGTAAGGCTATTTCAACAGTATTTCACTCTGCAGTTATTTGCTTAAAACTACTTTTTTTTCCCCCATTTTAAGGCCCGATCAGCAGGGACAAAAGCCACTCTGGGTGCCCGTGGGAGGGGGCACAGGGGGGGTGGTTGTGCTCAGATGGCCTCCACGTAGTTGGCGGGCAGCATGCCGGTCTTGCCGGTGCGCTGCACGGTGCCGTACATCCAGCCCTCGTCGATGGCCTGCGCGTTCACGATGGTGTCCCCGTCCTTGAAGGACACCTCGTCGGCGTCGGCCGCCGTGTAGTCGTACATGGCCCGGTAGCTTTTCTGCTCAGGAAAGAGGAAAGGGCAAAAAAAAAAAACCCAACATAGTTATGGGGCCTCTGCTGGCAACGGAAAAGGGAAGAGCTGAGCCAGGGAAGGAGATGTTCTGACTCGTTTCGTGGCTTCTCAGTGAAAGCTGCTCTCAGATCATAGAGTGCTTCTGGAGAAGCGAGTGCCTGGGGTTAAAGCCTGTGAGGGACTGACCCTGAAAACACCTTTTCTCCAGATGCTGTCTGAGGCAGATCCAGCTGTAAGGTCACAGCCACCTTCCAGGGCACGCTGCGCTGGGTGGCCCCACTTTGGTCCAACCCCACCCTGGGATTTCCAGCAGGTGCTGTCCTACCCGTCCCCTCTCTGGCTATCCCAGCAGGGTCCGTCCCACTCCAGTCACCCCGTCGCTGGCTTTGTACCAACCCTCAGCCTGGGGGGGTGAGTGGCCAGCAGCGAGCCGGGGAGGGTGTCAACCAGCCCCGGGGCGGGACTTACCCCGGCGGGGGGGGG